GCCACCACCACTGAATGACGTCACCCCCTAGGCAACATGGCCACCACCACTGAATGACGTCACCCCCTAGGCAACATGGCCACCACCACTGAATGACGTCACCCCCTAGGCAACATGGCCACCACCACTGAATGACGTCCCCCCCTAGGCAACATGGCCACCACCACTGAATGACGTCCCCCCCTAGGTAACATGGCCACCACCACTGAATGACGTCCCCCCCTAGGTAACATGGCCACCACCACTGAATGACGTCACCCCCTAGGTAACATGGCCACCACCACTGAATGACGTCCCCCCCTAGGTAACATGGCCACCACCACTGAATGACGTCACCCCCTAGGCAACATGGCCACCACCACTGAATGACGTCACCCCCTAGGCAACATGGCCACCACCACTGAATGACGTCACCCCCTAGGCAACATGGCCACCACCACTGAATGACGTCCCCCCCTAGGCAACATGGCCACCACCACTGAATGACGTCACCCCCTAGGCAACATGGCCACCACCACTGAATGACGTCACCCCCTAGGCAACATGGCCACCACCACTGAATGACGTCACCCCCCTAGGCAACATGGCCACCACCACTGAATGACGTCCCCCCCTAGGTAACATGGCCACCACCACTGAATGACGTCCCCCCCTAGGTAACATGGCCACCACCACTGAATGACGTCCCCCCCTAGGCAACATGGCCACCACCACTGAATGACGTCACCCCCTAGGTAACATGGCCACCACCACTGAATGACGTCCCCCCCTAGGTAACATGGCCACCACCACTGAATGACGTCCCCCCCTAGGTAACATGGCCACCACCACTGAATGACGTCCCCCCCTAGGTAACATGGCCACCACCACTGAATGACGTCCCCCCCTAGGTAACATGGCCACCACCACTGAATGACGTCCCCCCCTAGGTAACATGGCCACCACCACTGAATGACGTCCCCCCCTAGGTAACATGGCCACCACCACTGAATGACGTCCCCCCCTAGGTAACATGGCCACCACCACTGAATGACGTCCCCCCCTAGGTAACATGGCCACCACCACTGCAGTGCTAGAGAATGACGTCACCCCCTAGGTAACATGGCCACCAGGCAACCGGCTGTGTCATAATTGTGGCCGTCGGGTGGAGGAGGCTGTGACGACACACATTCGATCTGACCCAAAACACGTGGTCGTGCATCTCAATGTACGTACTGTACGTTGAACTTCTTTCGCACCGTACGTTGGCCAACGTGGAAGGGGACAGACAACAAACTAAACACAACACAACAAGGCAGTTCTAAAGAAATTATCCATAATATACGTTTTCGATTTAAAGCTTCTTTCGTGACTGCAGGGATTCATCTTCTTGGTTTTTTCGGTAAAGTCGTCACGTAGAAGGGAAGTAATAAAATAATAAAAATTAAACATAATATAACATAATATTTTATTTTATTATGTTTTATTTTTTATTATTTAATTACTTCCCTTCTACGTGACTTTACCGAAAGAACCAAGAAGAAAAAATATATGTTTTTTTGGGTGGGGTAGATGTAAATGTGTCGTTAAGCCCGCCACCACCCGACACAGCGGGCTAAAGCAATGTGAGCGTTCAATCTCGATGAGAGTCGTAACATTAATAATTGGGGTTTTTCCCATTTTTTCTGGCAACAAAACTGAAACCTTTTTACAGGAAATCATGTAACTGCATTAACCACAATACTTGCCGTCAAAATGCAAACAAAAAACACACTCTGATAATGTGTGCATTGTCCTTGAAACTGATTGGTTCACACCAGAGACAGCTTTGCCAGAAAAAAGCGGGGAAAACCCCTATTTCGATTAAAAGCTTCTTTCGTGACTGCAGGGATTCATCTTCTTGGTTTTTTCGGTAAAGTCACGTAGAAGGGAAATAATAAAATAATAAAAATAAAACATAAAATACAATTCTCACGACGTTTCGGCCACAACGCAAGCAGCCGTTCTCAGGTGTCTCGGCAGGGTTGCGATTTCCGCACCAATTTCCGCAAACATGCTGTTTTCGACCGCATTTCGCGGTAGTTTCTGTGACCCTCTTCCGCACAAATTTCCGCAATTTGCGGTGATTCCTGTGAAGACTTCCGCAAATCGTGACTTCGATTCCCGCCTTTCTCGGTGCCGTACTCGCGCGGTTGGCGCACATATCTTGCGTATGCCCATTTGGCTCTGCTGACTTCTGGAAAAAACGATATGTATATATGAACTATGGATTCCTGCATTCAGACAGCGTTGTTGGTGCGCACGAACTGTGAAAAAATCAATGAGAGCCGCGAGCTCTTGTGCGTCGAAGTACTTGTCGATGCCGTCGATGAAGCACACTTGCCACAAGTACACGACGCCACCGTTGACATGTTTGTCGCCGATAGGAATCCCTACGGTTGCATTTTTCCGGATCGACGCAACCCCCGGCGCTGTGCTCAGACCCTTTTGCCCAGCCCCATGATGTCTCCTAGCGTCTGCCATTCGGAGCCCTCGCAGTACTCGTAGCGACAAAGGAAAAACAAAAAACTGTAGCATTTTCTTTATTCATATTCTGTCGATATGCAAAACTATTCATCGTCGCTCAGATTGCAGCGCGTTGGGAAATCCACTGGTAATTTTGGCCAAGCGCTCAGATACCCACGCTGTTTTCGATACGCTCAGATACACACGCGTTTCCGCTCAGGTAATATCCTCGTCCAGCGTACGCTCATTTGCCTCTGTCGTAGCTACTTTATACCTCCTGCGAATATATACACTTTACTGCTAACGATTAAAACTTTGGCGCACAGGTCGGTCGGCTGTGAGAGGGCTTTCTCTCTGCAAAACAACATCAAGCCCGAGGAGTGGTTGCTCCTCTCGTGCAAGCAGTTGAACGCGCTTATAGTTTGCGCCCGCGACAAGCCAAAACTCAGCATCTTTCACGCCGAAGACGACATGAAGCGCTGGAAGAATGCGAAGAAGTGAAAGTACATGTGCTCGTAATCACGGCTCCACATTTGAATAAAGTATGTGGTTCTGGTGCGGAAATGCGGAAATCATATATTCATTCCAATCAGTAACTCAAAGCCCTACGTGATGCTGGGCCTTGCATGTATCCTTTCCAATAGAACGCATTAACGTGTTGTTAAAAGCGCACGGTCATAGGAGTAGTCTTTCCACCGTTTGCGGTTGACTTTAGCAAAAATGCGGGAAAATTTGAACCCTCCTTCCGCATTTTCCATGCGGAAATCGCAACCCTGGTGTCTCCCCGACAGACCTGTTCTTCACCTGAGGACGGCTGCTTGCGTTGTGGCCGAAACGTCGTGAGAATTATTTTATTATGTTTTATTTTTATTATTTTATTATTTCCCTTCTACGTGACTTTACCGAAAGAACCAAGAAGATGAACCCCAATGGTTTGCAAATAACGCGTGGCGGCCTTCGCACGACTGACGGTAATGTCTCATCGGCAAAAGTGGGGCCTCTCCCGCCGCTCTGAAATTGAGCGAAGAACGAGTGGCCTCAGGGGGGAGGGAGAGGGCCATGCACACACACTGGTGGTCTCACTCCCGGGGTTGCCTTCTCTCAACTCGCCACTCGGAATGATTCAACTGGCGCGTTCGTTTACTTGAATGTTTCTGCTCAAACTGGAAGCCGTGAAAGTGAATGGGCCACGGCCCAGCTAATGGCGGGCGACATCGGCACACGCATTGCGAGAGGTTGCAGAACGGCCAAGGCCATATTGTCCAATAGGTCACAGTAGTGGGCACTGTGACTAGGGCCCACTCACCCACTCACCCAGCCACCCACTCAGCCACTCACTCACCCAGCCACCCACTCATTCACCCACTCACTCGCCCAGCCACCCACCCAGCCACCCACTCCCTCACCCAGTCACCCACTCACCCAGCCACCCACTCACCCATCCACCCACTCACCGACCCACCAGGGCCATATTGTCCAATAGGTCACGGTAGTGGGCACTGGTATTAGGGCCCACTCACGCACCCACTCACCCAGCCACCCACTCATCCACCCACTCACTCACCCAGCCACCCACTCATTCACCCACTCACTCACCCAGCCACCCACTTATTCACCCACTCACTCACCCAGCCACCCACTCACCCAGCCACCCACTCATTCACCCACTCACTCACCCAGCCACCCACTCATTCATGCACCCACTCACCCAGCCACCCACTCATCCACCCACTCACTCACCCAGCCACCCACTCATCCACCAACTCACTCCGCCACCCACTCCCTCACCCACCCACTTACCCAGCCACCCACTCACTCACCCAGCCACCCACTCATTCACCCACTCATTCACCCATCCACTCCCTCACCCAGCCACCCACTCAGCCACCCACTCACCCAGCCACCCACTCACCCTGCCACCCACTCACCCAGCCACTCACCCAGCCACCCACTCATTCACCCACTCCCTCACCCAGCCACCCACTCAGCTACCCACTCACACAGCCACTCACCCAGCCACCCACTCATCCACCCACTCATTCACCCATCCACCCACTCCCTCACCCAGCCACCCACTCATCCACCCACTCATTCACCCATCCACCCACTCCCTCACCCAGCCACCCACTCATCCACCCACTCATCCACCCACTCATTCACCCATCCACCCACTCCCTCACCCAGCCACCCACTCAGCTACCCACTCACACAGCCACCCACTCACCCAGCCACCCACTCACCCAGCCACCCACTCACCCAGCCACCCACTCACCCAGCCACTCATTCACCCACCCACTCACCCATCCACCCACCAGGGCCGGATTATCCAATAGGCTACAGTAGTAGGCACTGTGCCGAGTGCCTACGAAAAACGTCAAGGGCCTTACGAAATAATGTTGACCATGTTTTTTGTTGTTTGTATGATTTAAAAAATGTTACTAAGATATTTTATTGAATAAATATATGTATGTACCAAGGACAAGCACAGTGTTATATACAAAGAGGCAGAGTCGTGGCAATGTCAATCTTTTTTCATTTCATAAGGTGAGAGAAATTAACACCGGAGATGACCTTTTCGAGATTTTTTTCATTGCAATAATTAGAAAATAACATCTTCAAATTGCGTTTTCCGCACAATCTCATTCTCAATTGAGTCGCGCAGCACAAGACCAAGACGTGAACCACTGAAGTTGTCACTGCAGGCCTAAGACAGACCTGTTCTCCACCTGAGGACGGCTGCTTGCGTTGTGGCCGAAACGTCGTGAGAATAATTTTATTATGTTTTATTTTTATTATTTTATTATTTCCATTCTACGTGACTTTACCGAAAGAACCAAGAAGATGAATCCCTGCAGTCACGAAAGCTTTAAATCGAAATTTAATCTCAAATCTGTCCCATCTTTCGCGGGATGGAATGTTGGTGCCAAATCGCATCCGCGTGAGTTTTCACCAGGTGCACTGGTTTTGCTGCCATGCTAATAAAGAAATATTCATAGTACGGGTTTTTGAGGACGACGTTTCGCTGGTAATTACATCCGGCATCATCGGGCGATTTGCCAGGATATTCTGCCAAATTGTAAATGTTGTGGATTTACTCTCCGACACACCGGTGGGCTGAAGTAGTCACTCATTGGCAAGCGTTGTTCACGTGACAAACCTTGCTGGCTGTGTCGGGCAGGTGGAGGGTTGCGACACATTTAGACTTACGCGATGTCGCCCAAAAACCTTTATTCGGAATAATATTGGTCGCGAAAGACTGCCGCGTGTCAAACCGACTCAAAATATTGGCTGAAGATACCTCAATCTGTACACACCTCCAGCGATCAGTGAGACTGCGGTTTGCAAGAATAACTTGACTATAAAAACAAGTAAACCCGTAAAAACAAAGTTTTTCACTATAAATCCTTTATTTGCGTGGCATTGGGGCGGCTAGAGTCCTCTCGTCCTCTGGCTTGAGATGGCTGCCACCTATGGGTCAGATGATTGTCTGGCAGCATTAAACAATTGGTAATTAAATATTTTAATTTTTTTCCCTACACAGTGTAAAATTTTGGAAATATGTTTTCACGAAAATGCATTGTCACGCACAACGAGTCTGTGTGCAAAATGTCAGCTCGATTGGATCACGGGAAGTGTGTTAAAAAACGACCGAAAGATTTGCACGGTCGTAAGCAAGCAAGCGAACTTAATATAAAGGATAAAAAAGTCTTATTATCACTATTAAAATAATATGAACATTTAAAACACCATGACAAAAGTAATGGAAACTCATATCGTGGTAATCATCACTTTATTGTGCCCCCCGTACCACCGTTTAGCATGCTTGACTATGCACGGTGTGAAAGAAGTCCCAACGTACACACACACATGCAATGTGACATCTTATCGTGGCAGCATTTTCGAGGAGGTGACGTTCAATGTCTTCGGTTACTTTTTCTTCTTGGTTCTTTCGGTAAAGTCACGTAGAAGGGAAGTAATAAAATAATAAAAAATAAAACATAAAATAATATAATACTATATTATATTGTTTTATTATTTTATTATATTATTTTATCATGTTTTATTTTTATTACAGTATTTTATTACTTCCCTTCTACATGACTTTACCGAAAGAACCAAGAAGATGAATCCCTGCAGTCACGAAAGCTTTAAATCGGAACAGTTACTTTGGCTTAGATCGCGTAAACAGAATTGTTAAGCTCCATCACCACCCGACACAGCCAATTATCAAGGGGTTGCCACGTAAATAAAACATGCCCATTCCTTGCGTTGTATCCCGATTGTGCTGCTGGTGTTTGTGTGTTGGTGAGAGAGGAACCCACGACATTTACAATGTGAGTCCTCGTGACGTTTCGCTGGCGATTGCAACCAGCTTCATCAGGCGACTTTGCCAGAATTGTGAAGATGTCCTCCTGTTTCCCGTCTTAAATAGAGTGAAGGTGACGTCATCACTCGTAAGCCAATCAGGTGCGAAGATCAGAGAAGGGGGCGGGGCGATGTAGTCGCATACATCACAATGGGTTATGTTACTCCGGTTGGATGAGTCAGATTCTTAGGTTTTTTCGGTAAAGTCACGTAGGTAAAACAATTAATAATAAACAATTGATACAGCTATCGTGCTGTGACGGTTCCACCTGAAGACGGAAGCTTTTTTATTTTATTTTTATTTTACTTTTATTAATTTTTATTTTTTTACCTACGTGACTTTACCGAAAAAACCTAAGAATATGAATCCTTGCAGTCACGAAAGCTTCAAATCTAGAATGGATTGGTCAGAGTTAATGAACATACACATGGAATATGTTAATCAGAGACTATGCAGTGCCGTACATGTTCCCGGGTTGGATTAGTCACAGTGAATCAATGTTTGGTTCCCTGACTAGGCATACGATAGCCTGACTTGGCATGCGATTAATGAATATGTTAATCAGAGACTATGCAGTGTCGTACATGTTACCGGGTTGGATTAGTCACAGTGAATCAATGTTTGGTTCCCTGACTAGGCATACGATAGCCTGACTTGGCATGCGATTAATGAATATGTTAATCAGAGACTATGCAGTGTCGTACATGTTACCGGGTTGGATTAGTCAGAGTGAATCGATGTTCGGTTCCCTGACTTGGCATGCGATTAATGGGGGGTGTCTAGTAGTAAACATCCGAGGAGGAGGACTTGTCATTCTTGTACGCGGGGTTGGTGAAGGTTACCGGTTCAATATCCTCGTACGGATTACCTCCCTTGGCCAGTGCTTTCGCCTGCAAGCAAAAAAAAAACACAAAGGAACGAACAAAAATAAATTTTTCCGTGAACGCTTATCGTTTTCGACGGCGAGACATATCGACGATTTGCCGATGCGCTCCGGGCGAGGCAAGCGAGGCCACCACCAACCGCCCAAAGAGACGGTGGTGGCAACCGCATCGAGATGCACTCCTACGGCCGTCTGGAACGCTCTCTTCCTCCCGATATTAGCACGCCGCTGGTGCCGTGCACTTTGAAATCGTCTAGATTTGACAAACTCATTTCCGTTAGAGCTGCTTTTTTACGTAAGGTGCGAAAGAAGTCCGACAGACATACGTACGAAAAGCTTCGCTCGCTGTGTGTGGAGCGGTGGTGCAGCAGTTAGCGCGCTCCCCTCCGAACCTGGCCCACCCGGGTTCGATTCTCGCTCACGGTCAACACCGGTGACGATTATCTGAACCGGTCCTGGGCCTCCCCTTAGGTTGACTCAGCCTGAAATGAGTAGCTGGTGCGTCGGGTAAACACAGCCACTAGGGAGACAAAGGCGGTCGGGCGTGGTGCTGGCCACCCACTCGCTTTGTGTGCCGTGCCGGCCTTCATAGGTGCTGCTCGCTAACAGCACTTGCCCCTAGAGTCTGTTAAGGCTACACGGGAGATCTTTGTCTTTCTGAATGCTCATTTGAGAGAGGAATAAATAACTGACTTCTGATCTCTATTGGCATTAAACGGTATCAATAATAATAACGATGATAGTTTTATATTGTTGGATCTTTCGGTAAAGTCACGTAGGAGGGAAATAATAAATATAAATATAAAACAATAAAAACAATAAAAAAATTCTCACGACGTTTCGACTGCAACACAAGCAATCATCTTCAGGTGTGAAATCCACAGTAAGAATTTTTTTCAAATATATTTATATTATTTTATTATTTCCCTTCTACGTGACTTTACCGAAAAAACCAAGAATATGAATCCCTGCAGTCACGAACGTTTTAAATCAAGATGATAGTTTTATGCCGTCCTTCATTCAGTGTGCATCTTTCACAATCAACGCCAGTTGAAGAGTCGTGGACTACGAACGACTTTCCCGAGTTCTGCCGTCCTCCATATATCCATACGCTCAGGTTTTTTCCGGTTAAATCAAGTAGGTAAAAAATAAAATTAATTACTGATGCAGTAATTTTAGCTGTGACGGTCCCACCTGATGACGGAGACTTGTGTTGCCTCCAAAACGTCGTGATTTTTTTTTCCATTATTACTTTTATTAACTTTTAATTGAATTTTTTACCTACGTGACTTCACCGAAAAAAATCTGAGACTATGAATCCTTGCTGTCACGAAAGCTTCAAATCTACAACTCCATATATCCGTCTGTCGAACGCGTTGCTCGCCAACAGCACTTGCCCCGACAGTGTGTTGAGGCTACACAACACGTGTTTGGGGGTGGGATCTTTGTCTTTGTGTTGCGTGTGCGTGCGTGAGATGCGGCGAGCATCGCAAGTGCGTCACCGTACGTCGCCGACTTGCGAACGGAGCGACTTGGAGTGCGCGCGATACGACATGCGGAAATTCGAAGAGTTTGTAAAGACATCCCCTTTCGTGGAATGTTTCCTGCGAGAAAAGAAAAGAAAGAAACGAAAAATTCACGTCAAACTTGTGCCTGGTTTCGGTGTTTTTTTGAACTGTATAAACAACAACATCAACAACATTTGTGATAAAATTTTTTAACCCTTTTATCTGGCAGCAAAATTGACACCTTTTTTTTACAAGGAGTCATGTTTGCATAGACCACAATACCTGCAGTTGGAATGCAAACAAAAAACATAACTCTGATAATGTATGCACTGTCCTTGAAGTTGATTGGTCCACACCCGAGACAGCTTTTCTTAGAGCCTAGTCTCACATGGTGTTGGACCAGATGACGCCAAAAGGCGCACAACTCAAGGACAATGAACCATCAGAGTATGAGAGCTCGGGGTAAGCATTTACACCATTGGAACCTCATTTGCCAGTAACAAAATATGATCATTGGCTTTTTTACCCTTTTACCTGGCAACAAAACTGACACCTTTTTTTCAAGGAGTCATGTTTGCATAGATCACAATACCTGCAGTTGGAATGCAAACAAAAAACATAACTCTGATAATGTACGCACTGTCCTTGAAGTTGATTGGTCCACACCCGAGACAGCTTTTCTTAGATCCTAGTCTCACATGGTGTTGGACCAGATGACGCCAAAAGGCGCACAACTCAAGGACAATGACCATCAGAGTATGAGAGCTCGGGGTAAGCATTTACACCATTGGAACCTCATTTGCCAGTAACAAAATATGATCATTGGTTTTTTACCCTTTTACCTGGCAACAAAACTGACACCTTTTTTTCAAGGAGTCATGTTTGCATAGACCACAATACCTGCAGTCATAATGCAAACAAAAAACATAACTCTGATAATGTACGCACTGTCCTTGAAGTTGATTGGTCCACACCCGAGACAGCTTTTCTTAGCGCCTAGTCTCACATGGTGTTGGACCAGATGACGCCAAAAGGCGCAAAACTCATAGACAATGCACCATCAGAGTATGAGAGCTCGGGGTAAGCATTTACACCATTGGAACCTCATTTGCCAGTAACAAAATATGATCATTGGTTTTTTACCCTTTTACCTGGCAACAAAACTGACACCTTTTTTTACAAGGAGTCATGTTTGCATAGATCACAATACCTGCAGTTGGAATGCAAACAAAAAACATAACTCTGATAATGTATGCACTGTCCTTGAAGTTGATTGGTCCACACCCGAGACAGCTTTTCTTAGATCCTAGTCTCACATGGTGTTGGACCAGATGACGCCAAAAGGCGCACAACTCAAAGACAATGCACCATCAGAGTATGAGAGCTCGGGGTAAGCATTTACACCATTGGAACCTCATTTGCCAGTAAAAAATATGATAATTGTTTTTTTACCCTTCTATCTGGCAACAAAACTGACACCTTTTTTTACACCTTTTTTTACAAGGTGTCAGTTTTGTTGCCAGATAGAAGGATAAAAAACCAATCATCATATTTTTTACTGGCAAATGAGGTTCCAATGGAAACAACATTTGTATTCACACGCGGAGACGCAGTTTCGATTGCCTTTTTCCTTCACCCAAAACGCTCCACAGCAAGGCGATTACCGCACTTTAGAGTTGTAAGGAACCGAACAGAGTCAATTTAGTCGGTGGTTCGTCGTTTTCTTTTTTTTTCGTTTGACACTTGTTGTTGAAAACAAATCGCAGGGTAGGGGAGAGGAGAGCCAAGGCACCCTCTGCATGGCCACCCTCCCCGACCCACGCCCGGCACGCGGAGGGAACGCCTCGACTCACCGTAAGCTCAGCACGATGACTGCGGTGATGAGCGCAATGAGGGCAGCTCCTCCGATGACCGAGACCACCACCACCACGAGCAGGAAGGCTGCGCGCACCCGACGGACAGACGCTGCGGTGTCACGTCTCACGGCGCGAAACGTCGAAACGTCGGTACGGTACCGATTGTAACGCGGTTCTTGACGCGATATTTCACGGGCAAGGTCACGTGTGGTTGGGTAAGGTGTGGGTAACTCCCAACGACCCTTCCGAGACGTCTGGCTTTGTTGTGAAAGAGTAACTAACATACTCAATTAAACTATTTTTTTTATTTTACCAGGTACGGCCCACTGAGCTATGTAGAAACGACCCGGCCATCACGGATGATAGTTCAACGAAGTGGGCTTATTAGCAGCAGCAGCAGCATCGTGTGGACATTTACAGCAGACACAAACACTCTAAAAGCGTGGTGATGTTGATTCTAAATGTGGAGGGGAAAACCGAAGGAGCCGGAGAAAAATCCACAAGACCACGGGGAGAGAGAGAGACACGCAAACTCCAAATATACAGCAGCAGGCGTCAGGGTCAGGATCGAACCCACGACCTCCTGTGTACCAGGCGAGCGAGTCAACATCTCCTAGCCACGGCGGCGATCATCAAGACTGTTTGGGGGAAGTAAGCGGGAGGTTGGCCAGGATTTGTCACGGCTCGAACGGATGATGGCCGATGGTCGAGGGAAATGACGGAGTGGCAGCCGAGGAACGGAGCGGCGTTTCGCGGAGATCAGCGAGCGAGGCAATCGGCTCGACAGGCAGGTGCCGGAGAATCCGTGAATAAAAAAGAGCTTCATAGTCCATCGGATTTCTCCAAGATGAATACAATGTAACATTCTGAATTATTGCATCCGCAGCGTCGTGAGAGATGGTGGATTGAGCAGGCGGAAGTTGATGATGGTGATGATGATGATGGTAGTGATGGTGACGATGATGGTGATGATGATGATGGTGGTGATGATGATGATGGTGACGATGATGGTGATGATGATGGTGATGATGATGGTGATGATGATGATGATGGTGATAATGGTGATGGTGATGATGATGGTGGTGATGATGATAATAGTGATGATGATGGTGATGATGATGGTGGTGATGATGATGATGGTGATAATGGTGATGATGATGGTGATGATGGTGGTGGTGATGATGATGGTGATGATGATGGTGGTGATGATGATGATGGTGATGATGATGATGGTGGTGATGATGATGGTAGTGATGATGATGATGGTGATGATGGTGATGATGATGATGGTGATGCATCTGTTGTTTTCATTGTGTAATCCACTCACGTTCTTTGCATTGCTTCCCACTGTATCCAAAGGAACATCTGTGGCGGAGGAAACATTGCTGCGTTAGCACTCACGGCGTTACAAGGCGAGTGAGTGGCGAGTGAGGAGTTGGGTGGGTGATGGGGGGTTAAAGGCGCAGCCGTGCAATTCTTCTCCGCAAAACGAGAGCAACGCGTGTCCGTGAGACGCGTTGCATCTCGTCGCGGCCGGTTTACTCTGTCCCAGTGGCGGCTCCTGCAAAATCTCTCAGGGGGGGGCAAATGTCTGGATGATTGATAAGGATAAGGTCCACCCATGCAATGGATACATTAACAGCTTAAGCATATAAAGGCAACTTCACTTCTTTAATATTAATGAAAAATAAAGTGACTCTTACAATACATCTCCTTGTTTGTTTCTATACTCACTATTAATAGAATCCACTCAAGTTTCTTTTATTAAAGATTCCACTCGGTGGCGACAAATTATATTGTTGGATGAAACGTGCTTACGTATGATGACGTAAGCACGTTAGGGCGAGCCCTCCCGGAAGTCATAGAGAATGCATTGGAGCGCCTGCCGTTCGAAAAAAAACATCTTTCAATGTAAGTCTATGGGAACACTCTGGGCGATTCTCAGCCGGAGTGAAATCGCCCAAAAAGAGGCGGTACTCCACAGAACGTGACATGACGCTGATTGGACTATATCCAGAGGCTGACAGTGACGGCTAGCGTGACTCTGTGGTTGAATGACATTGGTGGTGCGTCGCCCAATCGCCCTAATGAAGAAACCGCCCCTGCTCTGTCCGGTGTTTAAGACAGTGACACGGCTCCCCCCCCCCCCCCCCAACAAGAAAGGTGTGATGTGACTCACTCTTTGCACACTCCATTCTCATTTGTGTAGCCGTCTGGGCAGTCCAAGCAGTTGATTCCAGTGGCGTAGCCGTCGCATCTGCGCTCCGCAGACAAGCAACGCACGGCGACAGAGTTATCATCGGCCGCGACCTGTCCACCGATTGATGGACGCGTTCCAATCCCCCTCCGCCCCCCCTCCCCTCGACCACGAAGCCGTCACCGTTTCTCCACCCGCAGTATTAACCAGGGCGGCCGCGTGGGTCTCGAACCACGCAGGCCACTCCCACCACCCTCCCCACCCCCACCACCAGCGTGAGTGAGCGATGTTCACGCCGAGAGGAGAGCGTTTGAGAGATTCCCGCACGTTTCCCGGCCGTGGTTCGCGGAGAGTCCAGTTCACCATGGGAGTCCAATTTACTGTGGAAGTCCAGTTTACCATGGGAGTCCAGTTCACCATGGAAGTCCAGTTTACCATGGAAGTCCAGTTCACCATGGGAGTCCAATTTACTGTGGAAGTCCAGTTTAGCATGGGAGCCCAGTTCACCATGGAAGTCCAATTTACTATGGAATTCCAGTTCACCATGGAAGTCCAGTTCACTCTGGAAGTCCAGTTCACTCTGGAAGTCCACTTCACCATGGGAGTCCAGTTTACCATGGAAGTCCAGTTCACCATGGAAGTCCAGTTCACCATGGAAGTCGAGTTCACTCTGGAAGTCCAGTTCACCATGGGAGCCCAGTTCACCATGGAAGTCCAGTTTACCATGGGAGTCCAATTTACCATGGAAATCCAATTCCCTATGGAAGTCCAGTTCACCATGGAAGTCCAGCTCACTCTGGAAGTCCAGTTCACCATGGAAGTCCAATTTACCATGGAAGTCCAGTTCACCATGGAAGTCCAGTTCACTATGGAAGTCCAGTTCACTATGGAAGTCCAGTTTACCATGGAAGTCCAGTTCACCATGGAAGTCCAGTTCACTATGGAAGTCCAGTTTACCATGGAAGTCCAGTTCACCATAGAAGTCGAGTTTACCATGGAAGTCCAGTTCACCATGGGAGTTCAGTTTAACATGGAAGTCCAGTTTACCATGGAAGTCCAGTTTACCATGGGAGTCCAATTTACCATGGAAGTCCTTTTTACCATGGAAGTCCAATTCCCTATGAAAGTCCAGTTTACAATGGAAGTCCAGTTTACCATGTGAGTCCAATTTACCATGGAAGTCCTTTTTACCATGGAAGTCCAATTCCCTATGAAAGTCCAGTTTACCATGGAAGTCCAGTTTACCATGGAAGTCCAGTTTACCATGGAAGTCCAGTTCACCATGGAAGTCCAGTTCACCATGGAAGTCCAATTCCCTATGGAAGTCCAGTTTACCATGGAAGTCCAGTTCACTATGGAAGTCCAGTTTACCATGGAAGTCCAGTTCACCATGGAAGTCCAGTTCACTATGGAAGTCCAGTTTACCATGGAAGTCCAGTTCACCATAGAAGTCGAGTTTACCATGGAAGTCCAGTTCACCATGGGAGTTCAGTTTAACATGGAAGTCCAGTTTACCATGGAAGTCCAGTTTACCATGGGAGTCCAATTTACCATGGAAGTCCTTTTTACCATGGAAGTCCAATTCCCTATGAAAGTCCAGTTTACCATGGAAGTCCAGTTTACCATGGGAGTCCAGTTCACCATGGAAGTCCAGTTCACCATGGAAGTCCAGTTCACCATGGAAGTCCAGTTCACCATGGAAGTCCAATTCCCTATGGAAGTCCAGTTTACCATGGAAGTCCAATTCCCTATGGAAGTCCAGTTTACCATGGGAGCCCAGTTCACCATGGAAGTCCAGTTCACCATGGAAGTCCAGTTTACCATGGACAGGGGTCAGCAAACTTGCGGCTCCGAGGCCACGTGGGGCTCTTTAAGGAGCGTGGCTTCGTGCCCGCTATTAGTAGGGGGTGCGAGATGCAGGTGAAGAACCACTGAGTTTGGAGGGCGTTCAATAGCAATGCGCTCTGGAAGAGCCCTGCCCATCGAGCCCGCCCCTGGTCCTACGCGTGTCCATGTAGCGGCGTGGCGGAGTGCAAACTTACTTGACGCATACTCCTTCATCATTCCCCCTGGAGCCGATGGGACAAACTTAAAGAGAGAAAGAGAGAGAGAAAAGGGAACGATCAGTGTTTTTCATTTGACAAACGGTGAAACAGATCTTCGCATCACGAACATTCATTTGCTGATTTGTTCAATTGAAGTGAACTCACAGGACCAAGATCGGGCCACGGATGAACCCATTCGCCAAATCACAGCAGAATAAATAAATAAAAACTTCCTATTCTTAGGTTTTTTTCGGTAAAGTCACGTAGCTAAAATAACTACATTTAAATTAATTAAAGTAAAATAAAAAATTAAATAAAATTATATTTTAAAACTTCCCTTTACCAAATGTCTCACTCCACCCCTGTCTTCTTGGTTCTTTCGGTAAAGTCACGTAGAAGGGAAGTAATAAAATAATAAAAATAAAACATAATAAAACAATTCTCACGACGTTTCGGCCACAACGCAAGCAGCCATCCTCAGGTGAAAACCAGGTCTGTCGAGGCGACAGCGTCTGAATGTGTTGTGGCCGAAACGTCGTGAGAATTGTTTTATTATGTTTTATTTTTATTATTTTATTACTTCCCTTCTACGTGACTTTACCCAAAGAACCAAGAATATTAATCCCTGCAGTCACGAAAGCTTTAAATCGAAATTCCACCCCTGTCCTTTTTGTATCCCGACGAGTAACGGTTCCCACCCAACCTTGTCTAACGTTCTTACCCCCCCCCCACCCCCGAACGCCTGTGAAAAGAGCTTCATAGCTCATCGGATTCCTCCAGCAAAAATTAAAAAAAATCTGATTCCGTGGAGTCGCTAACCCCTAACCCTGATTCCTCCGTGTTGTGTTTGTAGGAAACGTCGCGTTCGCGAAGACGTGGTGTTTGAAAAACAACGGAATTAAATTTCGATTTAAAGCTTTTGTGACTGCAGGGATTCATCTTCTTGGTTCTTTCGGTAAAGTCACGTAGAAGGGAAATAATAAAATAATAAAAAACATTATAAAATAATTATCTTTCCATTTAAAGCTTTCGTGACTGCAGGGATTCATCTTCTTGGTTCTTTCGGTAAAGTCACGTAGAATGGAAATAAAATAAAATAAAAATTAGTATTTTATTATTTCCATTCTACATGACTTTACCGAAAGAAACAAGAAAACGGAATGGGAGTTCAGTAGAACCTCAGAGATCGAACGCACCAGAACTCGAACAAATTGGTGTTCGAACGATATTTCCGAACATTTTTTGCCCCGGACACCGAACGAAATTCGGAGGTCGAACAGCCAATCGAGACTTGAAAGAACCTGTACGGCTGAGACGCGTATGGTCAGCGTGCATGACGCTTGCCCAGACAAAGGTTTTACTACCTCCTCCTCCACCTCCTCACCACCTTCCACTCAAGCCATCAACTCTCCTTACTACAGGTAAAGTGAAATTCAATTATTCTTTGGTTCTTTCGGTAAAGTCACGTATAAAGATAAAATAATAAATTAAATAATAGCATACTACGACGTTTTGATTGCAACACAAGTAATCATCATCAGGTATAAAAGAAATAGCAACAGAAATATAACCAGAAAACTATAGAGATACATATAAGCAGACAGACATCATAAAGATACACAGAGAGAGGTCGACCTCTTTGTGCCGATTTTACACTGTTTATGGAATTTTTTTAAAATATTTAATTACCAATTGCTTAATGCTGGCAGACAATCATCTGACCCATAGGTGGCAGCCATCTCAAGCCAGAGGACGAGAGGACTCTAGCCACCACGCATATAAAGGATTTAGAGTGAAAAACTTTGTTTTTACGGGTTAATTTTTTTTAAAGTGACCTGGCCACGAATTCCAATGATAGCTCAACAAAGTGGCACATCATTTGGACATTTAAAGCAGCCAAAATCATCTCAACAATCTCAATGCATGTGCCCTAATGTCAAGGGAAAACCCGGAGGACCCAGAGAAAAAAAATCAAGCGACCAATGGAGAGAGAGAGAGACACACACACACACAAACTCCAAATATACAGCAGGCATCGTCAGGGTCGGGCTCGAACCCACGACCTCCTGCGTACCAGGCGAGGAAGATGACATGAAACAAAGAGAGACACAAGAGGGCACGACACGCAAAGCATGACGGATCGTGCTCGAGTCGCGTTTACCCGTGCAGATGTCCCCGAACTCCGCCTTCACGTATCCGGGCAGGCAGGTGCACGTCGGGAAGCCCTCCACCTCTTCCGTGCACGTGGAAATGTTGTCGAAGCACGGGTTGACGTCGCACAGATTGATGTCTGGAAGGAAATTCCAGAGGAGGCGTGGACAGTCAGTCGCGACAGAGCAGGGCTCATTGCGCCACGGTGGCTAGGAGATGTTAACTACCTCGCCTGGTGCGCAGGACGTCGTGGGTTCGATCCCGACCCCGACGCCTGCTGCTGTATATTTGGAGTTTGCGTGTCTCTGTCTCTCTCACATTATCATCATCATCATCACGGTGGCTAGGAGATGTTAACTACCTCGCCTGGTGTGCAGGACGTCGTGGGTTCGATCCCGACCCCGACGCCTGCTGCTGTATATTTGTAGTTTGCGTGTCTATCTCTCTCATCATCATCACGGTGGCTAGGAGATGTTAACTACCTCGCCTGGTGCGCAGGACGTCGTGGGTTCGATCCTGACCCCGACGTCCAGGGGTTGCGAGCCAGAGGTCGCCGCCGGCCTGGGTCGATCTCCCGGCGCGGGAGTTAAATCCACACGCAGCCGACCCCCCCTCCCCCAACCTCCTCCGCCCCCACTTGGCTCTGTCCACCCAGAAGTATAAATGGGTTACGGCCCAGCTAGCGAGTTAATCGGTAAGGTCGCGTGGGGTGGGGTAAAATGTGGGTAACTCTCACCCCCCCCCCCTCCCCCTTCCAAGTTGTGAAAGTGTATATTAAAAACTAAATGTCATTATTTGTATTTTACCAGGTAAGGCCCACTGAGCTATGTAGCTCTAAATGATAGCTAACGGAAGTGGCTCATCGCGTGGAAATTAACAGCAGCCAAATACTCTAAACGCGTGACGTTGATTCGAAACGTGAAGGGAAAACCCGGAGGACCCGGAGACAAATCCACGCGACCTCATGGAGAGAGAGAGACACGCAAACTTCAAATACACAGCAGTTGTCACAGGGTCGGTATCGAACCCACGACCACCTGTATACCAGGCGAGGTAGTTAATATCTCCTAGCCACCGTGATGATGATGAGAGAGAGACACGCAAACTTCAAATACACAGCAGGTGTCACGGGGTCGGTATCGAACCCACGACCTCCTGTATACCAGGCGAGGTAGTTAACATCTCCTAGCCACCGTGATGATGATGAGAGAGAGACACACAAACTTCAATTACACAGCAGGTGTCACAGGGTCGGTATCGAACCCACGACCTCCTGTATACCAGGCGAGGTAGTTAACATCTCCTAGCCACCGTGATGATGATGAGAGAGAGACACGCAAACTCCAAATACACAGCAGGCGTCACAGGGTCGGTATCGAACCCACGACCTCCCGTATACCAGGCGAGGTAGTTAACATCTCCTAGCCACCGTGATGATGATGAGAGAGAGACACGCAAACTTCAAATACACAGCAGGTGTCACAGGGTCGGTATCGAACCCACGACCTCCTGTATACCAGGCGAGGTAGTTAACATCTCCTAGCCACCGTGATGATGATGAGAGAGACACGCAAACTTCAAATACACAGCAGGTGTCACAGGGTCGGTATGGAACCCACGACCTCCTGTATACCAGGCGAGGTAGTTAACATCTCCTAGCCACCGTGATGATGATGAGAGAGAGACACGCAATCTCCAAATACACAGCAGGTGTCACAGGGTCAGGATCGAACCCAAGACCTCCTGTATACCAGGCGAGGTAGTTAACATCTCCTAGCCACCGTGATGATGAGAGAGACACGCAAACTCCAAATACACAGCAGGTGTCGACAGGGTAGGTATCGAACCCACGACCTCCTGTATACCACGCGAGGTAGTTAACATCTCCTAGCCACCGTGATGATGATGAGAGAGAGACACGCAAACTCCAAATACACAGCAGGCGTCAGGGTCGGGATCGAACCCACGACCTCCCGTATACCAGGCGAGGTAGTTAACATCTCCTAGCCACCGTGATGATGATGAGAGAGAGACACGCAAACTCCAAATACACAGCAGGTGTCGACAGGGTCGGTATCGAACCCACGACCTCCTGTATACCAGGCGAGGTAGTTAACATCTCAAAGCCACCGTGATGATGATGAGAGAGAGACACGCAAACTCCAAATACACAGCAGGTGTCACGGGGTCGGTATCGAACCCACGACCTCCTGTATATCAGGCGAGGTAGTTACATCTCCTAGCCACCGTGATGATGATGAGAGAGAGACACGCAAACTTTAAATACACAGCAGGTGTCACAGGGTCGGTATCGAACCCACGACCTCCCGTACACCAGGCGAGGTAGTTAACATCTCCTAGCCACCGTGATGATGATGAGAGAGAGACACGCAAACTCCAAATACACAGCAGGTGTCACAGGGTCGGTATCGAACCCACGAGCTCCCGTATACCAGGCAAGGTAGTTAACATCTCCTAGCCACCGTGATGATGATGAGAGAGAGACACGCAAACTCCAAATACAAAGCAGGCGTCAGGGTCGGGATCGAACCCACGACCTCCTGTATACCAGGCGAGGTAGTTAACATCTCCTAGCCACCGTGATGATGATGAGAGAGAGACACGCAAACTCCAAATATACAGCAGGTGTCACGGGGTCGGTATCGAACCCACGACCTCCTGTATACCAGGCGAGGTAGTTACATCTCCTAGCCACCGTGATGATGATGAGAGAGAGACACGCAAACTTCAAATACACAGCAGGTATCACAGGGTCGGTATCGAACCCACGACCTCCCGTATACCAGGCGAGGTAGTTAACATCTCCTAGCCACCGTGATGATGATGAGAGAGAGACAAGCAAACTCCAAATACACAGCAGGTGTCACAGGGTCGGTATCTAACCCACGACCTCCTGTATACCAGGCGAGGTAGTTAACATCTCCCAGCCACCGTGATGATGATGAGAGAGAGACACGCAAACTTAAAATACACAGCAGGTGTCACAGGGTCGGTATCGAACCCACGACCTCCTGTATACCAGGCGAGGTAGTTAACATCTCCTAGCCACCGTGATGATGATGAGAGAGAGACACGCAAACTTCAAATACACAGCAGGTGTCACGGGGTCGGTATCGAACCCACGACCCCCTGTATACCAGGCGAGGTAGTTAACATCTCCCAGCCACCGTGGGGCCAACGTACCCTCGAGAGCGGGATCCCTCTTAGCGGAGGCACCTTCCGCCAGCGGTGACGCGAGCGGGCACATGCGTGGGGAAGCGCTGCGCCTTCACCTTGTGTGAGAGTCAAACTGGGTTCCTCCAGTGTGGTGATGGTGGTGTGTGGGGTTTTGTCACAAAGACAAAGATCCCCCGCTGGGTTCATTGTGCAGGACGCTAACCACTACAACTACCGGTCCCCACCAAGATTTCCAAACCAAACCGAGCCACCAAGAGCCTTGATCGACTTTTTGGGGCAAGTGCTGTTAGCGAGTAGCAGCACCTAATGAAAGCCGGCACGGCACACGAGGGGGGGGTGGGTGTGCCAACACCGCGCCCGGCCGCCTTTGTCTCTCCTAGTTGCAATGTTTTTAAATCCTTTATATTAAGTTCGCTCGCTTGCTTGCTTGCTTGCTTACGACCGTGCAAATCTTTCGGTCGTTTTTTAACCCACTTCCCGTGATCCAATCGAGCTGATATTTTGCACACAGACTCGTTGTGCGAGACAATTAATGTTCGTGAAATTTTTTCCAAAATTTTACACTGTTTAGGGAAAACAAATTAAATATTTAATTACCAATTGCTTAATACTGGCAGACAATCATCTGACCCATAGGTGGCAGCCATCTCAAGCCAGAGGACGAGAGGACTCTCGCCGCCACGCATATAAAGGATTTATAGTGAAAAACTTTGTCTTTACGGGTTATACTTATTTTGAGTCGACCTAGGGGGAGGAGGCCCAGAAACCGGTTCAGACAATGGTCACTGGGTGTTGGTGGCCGTGAGCGGGAATCGAACCCGGGTGGCCAGGTTCGTAGCGGTCACATCGAGGGCACAGGTCCACACACTGCGCTTGTTACGTCGCGCGGCGAGTGAAACGGAAGTTTGGTAGGCTCAATAGTTTCACCGCTTCGTGTTACTCGGCTACTTACTTTGAGAAGTCAAGCCTTGACATCCTCCTGAAGCTTGATTGCAGCTTTCAACAGCAATTTTCACAGCAGCATCAACGTCGACTTTCGTAATTGCAGAGGCTGTGTCGTACATGTTCGAGACGTCCGCAAACACGCTTCCCGGTCTAAACGCGCACACACATCACACGCATCAGACACATCACAGGAAGGTGTTACAGAAATGACAAGTTTCAGTCGTTTTTCCCGGCACACCACATCAAGCGAACCTCCCGCTACGGCTGAATCAGCGCATGTACCACCTAGTCGGGTCCACCAGCAACCCGGAATTATATTCGGTGACAAATTAATCACCAGCGAACAACTTGGATCAAAGATTTGCAGTAACACCGATCGAAATTTATGTAGCTCTTGTTTTCTTTTCAGAAGCGACCTGTCGCAAATGATAGCTCAAGGAAGTGGTTTATCATCATCACGTGGAAACTTACAGCAGCCAAATACCCTAAACGCACGCCGGTTTTTAATGTTGGGGGGGTGAAAAACCTGAGGACCCGGAGAAAAAAAAATCCACGCGACCACAGGGAGAGAGAGACAGACACGCAAACTCCAAATATACAGCAGCAGGCGTCAGGGTAAAGATCGAACCCACGACCTCCTGCACACCAGGCGAGGTAGTTAACATCTCATAGCCACCGTGGCTCCCATTCATTATATCAGCCAAGTACTTTAAAACGCACGTGTCTACAGTGCGCAAAGCAACAATGTCGCCCCCGACTGTGGAAACTTTACATGACCTCATGGGGAAATACGCAGTATGCGTAACAATAAATGATTAGTCCGATCGACTAAGAAGACATCATGACTGGGCAATTGATTTCGAACCACCTGTCTCACTCACCTCAGCCTAATGACTTCAGAGCCAAGGTAGCCTGTATCGTTGTTCAACGCATTTGTAATCTGGAAGAGAAAAAAATATATATACATAGATTGTGCATAATAGAGGTGTTTTGGTTTAGATCGCGTCAATATAAATGTGTCGTTGAACCCGCCACCACCCAACACAGCCAATGAGTAAGGTTTGTGACGTCAACAGAACGTGACCAATTCGTTCCGTTGTCTGCCAATTGTGCTGCTGATGCTACGACGTGAGACAATTTGTCCACTCTCGCACAGAAGTGCCATCGGTAGTGGTGAGGATGGTGATAGTGATGGGGAATTTAAATATTTTAACCATTTTTTTTATTTCGATTCAAAGCTTTCGTGACTGCAGGGATTCATATTATTGAATCTTTCGGTAAAGTCACGTAGAAGGGAAAGAATAAAATAATTAAAATAAAATTTCATAAAATTCTCACGACGTTTCGGCCACAACACAAGCAGCCGTCCTCAGGTGGAGAACGGACGGTGTAGCTCCTGTTCTCGAAGCGACCTGGCTAGGACGAATGATATCTCAACGAAGTTGGCCGCTTATTATTATCATCACGTGGAAATATGCAGCAGCAGCAGCAGCAGCTACCAAACACTCTAAACACGTGACGTTGATTCTAAGTTCAAGTTCAAGTTCATTTATTAGGTACAGCCCTGTGAGCCATTCGGCTCTTGAATCGGGTGCAACCGCAACAAACAAAAAACAAAAACATGAACAAAAAACATCTTAAAATGAATATGTGACTAAGTGCAAACAGAAAATCCAAGAAAAGACGGCAAAATATTGCAGAAAAAGCACCGTACACCAACGCTGTGTGCACAAATCCCAGTGGGATGCAAGTCAAACAACAACAACAACCACAAGACAACTTAGATTAAGGCCAATGTGGAGGGGGTTAAACCGGAGGACCCGGGAGAAAAATCCACGCGACCATCTATACAGCAGGCGTCAGGGTCGGGATCGATTCACACGACCTCCTGTATATCAGGCGAGGTAGTTAACATCTCCGAGCCACCGTCGGATTTACAGAACGTAAAAATTGTTCCGTGCCTTTTGTTATTGGGTTACTTTCTTTTTATATAACGGATTATACATTTTCTATCTTTGCTCCTTACCAGATTCAAAATACGAAGGGAAACCTCTTTAAAGGCTTCTGAGCTTTTGTCTTCCATGTCAGGTGTAAAATTTTATTCGCCAAGTGCAGGAGAGACGGAAAAGTCTTTGCTGTGAAGAAGATCAGGAACAATGCAAACAGAACACACGTCTGAGATTGACATTCTGACAAGTCGCACTTAATTGTATTACTCTTTGCTCAAATATAACCGTAAATAAAAACTGGCTGAAAGTTTGTGGAGCAGGAGTGACAACATCTGGAAACCCCCGTGCGAACTGTCATCACAGCTGCACAAAGCATTGTCAGTATTTACAAGATGTATGTTTGTTTGTTGAACTTATTTCGCACCGCACGTAGCCACACACAAAGCAGTTCTAAAGAAATTAGTTTTGTCAATCTAAATGATGATTTAAACGTGCACAGTTCCAGTAGCATTCCTAATATCGGAAGGAAGAGCGTTCCAGACGGCCAGGCCGCAGAAGCGGCATCTGGTGTGTTGAGCGAACTGATAAGTATGTAAAGATGAGAAATATGTTTTACCCTTTGTGGCAAGGCCGTAGCCATGGAGTCAACATGGGGGGGGACCACATCTTCCAAGGGGTCTAAAATATTTAAAAAATTAACGAACACATAGGATGGACAGTAAGGATGAGCGGAGTTTCGTGCGATGATGGAACGCGTTTCTGGATGGGACGTCGTTTCCGCCTCGGGAGACGGAGCGGCGAAATCAGCTCGCGCGCAAGAGCAATGATACAATCGAGCACGTTATCGCGGGACCGCGAGGAATGACCGATGAAATGGGAAGGCCCTAGGTGGATTGAATTGTTAAGAGGTGGCCAGCGACCACGGCTACCCAGGGGCGGTTTCTTCATTAGGGCGATTGGGCGACGCACCACCAATGTCATTCAACCACAGAGTCACGCTAGCCGTTACTGTGCCTCTGGATATAGTCCAATCAGCGTCATGTCACGTTCTGTGGAGTACCGCCTCTTTTTGGGCGATTTCACTCCGGCTGAGAATCGCCCCGAGTGGCCCCATAGACTTACATTCAAAGATGTTTTTTTTCGAACGGCGGGTGCTGCAATGCATTCTCTATGGCTTCCGGGAGGGCTCGCCCTAACGTGCTTACGTCATCATACGTAAGCACGTTTCATCCAACAATATAATTTGTCGCCACCTAGTGGAATCTTTAATAAAAGAAACTTGAGTGGATTGTATTAATAGTGAGTATAGAAACAAACAAGATGTATTGTAAGAGTCACTTTATTTTTCATTAATATTAAAGAAGTGAAGTTGCCTTTACATGCTTAAGCTGTTAATTTATCCATTGCATGGGTGGACCTTATCCTTATCAATCATCCAGACAATTGCCCCCCCTGTGAGATTTTGCAGGAGCCGCCACTGCGGCTACCGATGCTGACGACGATGGCGATGATGATGATGATGACGACGATGATGATGACGGCAATGGCGTTGCATGCCGGAGTGCAATGGGTAACGACACGGATGGAGGGCAAAGTTCTTACCCAGATTGCAGCTGTTTTCATCTTCTTTCAAGAAGTAGCCGATTGGACACTCGCAGCGGTACGAGCCCACGGTGTTGATGCACTTTGCCAGGGCTGGACAAGTCGTTGGCAGGGCGCATTCGTCGACATCTGAACGTGTGGGAAACAAGGAGCAACATCGTGACGCGTCGTGAGAAACGTGGTTTGTCGCATCTCGTTCGCATTGTCTGCGGGTTATTGTGCGTACGTGCGTTGAATTTCTTTCGCGCCGTACGTAGCCGCCAGTGCTAATCGGAGGTTGCGGGTGAAGGACAACAAACTAAACACCAAACGTTTTTAAACCACCCTACGAGGGTGCGTTCCGTGGGCGGGTGAGTTAGTGAACGAGAGTGGGTGAGTGGATAGGTGGGTTGGTGAATGAGTGGATAGGTGGGTGGGTTAGTGAATTAATGGACAGGTGGGTGGGTTAGTGAACGAGTGGGTGAGTGGATAGGTGGGTGGGTTAGTGAATGAGTGGATAGGTGGGTGGTTTAGTAAATTAATGGATAGGTGGGTGGGTTAGTGAATGTGTGGATGAGTGGACAGGTGGGTGGGTTAGTGAATGAGTGGATAGGTGGGTGGATTAGTGAATGAGTGGATAGGTGGGTGGGTTAGTGAATGAGTGGATAGGTGGGTGGGTTAGTGAATGAGTGGATAGGTGGGTGGGTTAGTGAATGAGTGGATAGGTGGGTGGGTTAGTGAATGAGTGAGTGGATAGGTGGGTGAGTTAGTGAATGAGTGGATAGGTGGGTGGGTTAGTGAATGTGTGGGTGAGTGGATAGGTGGGTGGGTTAGTGAATGAGTGGATAGGTGGGTGGGTTAGTGAATGAGTGAGTGGATAGGTGGGTGAGTTAGTGAATGAGTGGATAGGTGGGTGGGTTAGTGAATGAGTGGGTGAGTGGATAGGTGGGTGAGTTAGTGAATGAGTGGATAGGTGGGTGGGTTAGTGAATGAGTGGGTGAGTGGATAGGTGGGTAAGTTAGTGAATGAGTGGGTGAGTGAATAGGTGGGTTAGTTAGTGAATGATTGGGTGACTGGATAGGTGGGTGGGTTAGTGAATGAGTGGATGAGTGGATAGGTGGGCGAGTTACTGAATGAGTGGGTGAGTGGGTGAGTGGGTGAGTTAGTAAATGAGTGGGTGAGTGGATGGGTGGGTTAGTTAGTGAGTGAGTAGTTAGGTGGACGGGTGAGTCAGAACAGTCACGGCCACTCCATTGCAGTATTTTCCGTCGCGCGCACACACATCCGCTGTAAGGGCTCATTCTGAGCAGAAACATCGGTTGGAACTTAGATGCTTATGTTTGTAAAGCAAGCTAATCGTTTTAAGTAAAACTACAGCAATACCTCGACATGGGTATACTCGATAAACAAAGTTGAAAACGAACTTTTTTGGAATTGTTAGGTGCGCGCTAACAACACTTGCCCCAACAGTCTGTTAAGGCTATACGGGGGATCTTTGTCTTTGTTGTTGACAATGGCGTGTTGTCATTTACACCATCCGCTTTCTTAAGCTAATTAAAAATCGAACGGAATATGCAACGATGTGATTTACGCGCGCTAAGGTGTTGCAATGATGCACCGCAGGTTAATTTAAAATTTCACTTTCGGCATTTAAGTAAAACTAAAGCACCCGTTTCCCGATTGGTCCACGGGCCAGAGAAAGACATTGGTACCGCCTACAGTAGCCAAACTTGAGTAGCACCAGGAGTGTAACGAGTGTGGGACAGGCAGGGGATGCCTTGGTGGCCAAAGCTAAGAGTTGAACCCCCCCCCCACGCCCCAACAGCGTTAAATGATCGAGACCGTGAGCGTAACCATCTGCCCAATTCATCTTCTTGGTTCTTTCGGTAAAGTCACGTAGAAGGGAAATAATAAAATAATAAAAAATATACATTTCTGTCTTTTTTTATTTAAATAAATGTATTTTTATTATTTCCCGCCGGATCCGTAGCGCAGCTACACCACCGCTTCCCATGTGACGTCACAGCCACATGGCAACACGCAGTTTGGTTCGATACACTCACCAGTCACAGTTGGAGGGGCTGTACTTGTGGTTGGTTTTGTAGTCGGTGTTGTTCCGTTAGATGGGACAGTAGGCGTTGTTGTTCCGTTAGATGGGACAGTAGGCGTTGTTGTTCCGTTAGATGGAACGGTAGGAGCTATGGTTCCGTTAGATGGAACGGTAGGTGGCGATGTTCCGTTAGATGGAACGGTAGGAGCTATGGTTCCGTTAGATGGAACGGTAGGTGGCGATGTTCCGTTAGATGGAACGGTAGGTGGCGCTGTTCCGTTAGATGGAACGGTAGGTGGCGCTGTTCCGTTAGATGGAACGGTAGGTGGCGCTGTTCCGTTAGATGGAACGGTAGGTGGCGCGGTTCCGTTAGATGGAACAGTAGGTGGCGCTGTTCCGTTAGATGGAACGGTAGGTGGCGCTGTTCCGTTAGATGGAACGGTAGGTGGCGATGTTCCGTTAGATGGAACGGTAGGTGGCGCTGTTCCGTTAGATGGAACGGTAGGTGGCGCTGTTCCGTTAGATGGAACGGTAGGTGGCGCTGTTCCGTTAGATGGAACGGTAGGTGGCGCTGTTCCGTTAGATGGAACAGTAGGTGGCGCTGTTCCGTTAGATGGAACAGTAGGTGGCAATGTTCCGTTAGATGGAACGGTAGGCGCTATAGTTCCATTAGATGGCACGGTAGGTGGCAATGTTCCGTTAGATGGAACAGTAGGTGGCAATGTTCCGTTAGATGGAACGGTAGGCGCTATGGTTCCGTTAGATGGCACGGTAGGTGCTATTGTTCCGTTAGATGGAACGGGAGGTGGCAATGTTCCGTTAGATGGAACGGGAGGTGGCAATGTTCCGTTAGATAGAACGGGAGGCGGCAATGTTCCGTTAGATGAAACGGGAGGTGGCAATGTTCCGTTAGATGGACCGGTAGGTGCTATAGTTCCGTTAGATGAAACGGGAGGCGGCAATGTTTCGTTAGATGGACCGGTAGGCGCTATGGTTCCATTAGGCGTTGTTGTATTTGGATTAGATGTGCCATTTCTTGAATTTGAGTATATGAGAGATTCACCGTTCGTTTCTGTGGAGAGAATTGCAAAGATTACAAAATGTATTACAACCACGAAATTATAAAAGTAAAGTCACATGATCAATCCATCAATCAGAACGTTATTTCATTCAAGCCAGAGCGGACAGTAGTGAGAGAGGGTTGCGATCGAAACGTCGTGATTTGTTTGATTTCATTTCTAACTACGTGACTTTACCGAAAGAACCAAAGAGTAAGTTTTCCTCACGTTGAGATGTTTACTTGAGTGAGGGGGGGGGTGGCACCAGACATGATGCGAATGGTAGACAAACGAGGTCATTCAAGACCAAGTATTTATTTCTAACTGGTGTTTATTGTGGCCTTGGGTCCCTATTGATTCTTAAAACAATTGGTCACGGATTTGAGATTGAGGAACATTCACGATAGAACACGTAGTAATCATTTACCACGTAAAATATATAAAACTAAGCTATAAGCCTTCTTTTTTTTATTAGGTAAGGATCATTTAGCCGTTATAGCTCTTTCTCATGAACGACCTGGTCACTAAAACTAGCTCAAGGAAGTGGCTTATCATCGTGATGATGATGAGAGAGATACGCAAACCCCAAATATACAGCAGCAGACATCAGGGTAGAGATCGAAACCACGACATCCTGTAGACCAGGCGAGGTAGTTAACATCTCATAGCCACCATGATGATGATGAGAGAGACATGAAAACTCCAAATACACAGCAGGCGTCAGGGTAGAGATCGAACCTACAACATCCTGTACACCAGGCGAGGTAGTTAACATCTCCTAGCCACCCTGATGATGATGATGAGAGAGAGAGACACGCAAACTCCAAATATACAGCAGCAGGCGTCAGGGTAGAGATCGAAACCACGACATCCTGTATACCAGGCGAGGTAGTTAACATCTCCTAGCCACCGTGATGATGATGAGAGACGTGAAAACTCCAAATATACAGCAGGCATCATGGTAGAGATCGAACCTACAACATCCTGTAGACCAGGCGAGAGAGTTATCATCTCATAGCCACCCTGATGATGATGATGACAGACGTGAAAACTCCAAATACACAGCAGGCGTCAGGGTAGAGATCGAACCTATGACCTCCTGTAAACCAGGCGAGGTAGTTAACATCTCCTAGCCACCGTGATGATGATGAGAGACATGAAAACTATAAATATACAGCAGGCATCAGGGTAGAGATCGAACATATGACCTCCTGTAGACCAGGCGAGGTAGTCAACATCTCCTAGCCACCGTGATGATGGTGATGAGACGTAAAAACTCCAAATATACAGCAGCAGGCATCAGGGTAGAGATCGAACCTACGACATCCTGTAGACCAGGCGAGGTAGTTAACATCTCAAAGCCACCGTGATGATGATGATGATGAGAGAGAGAGACACGCAAACTCCAAATATACAGCAGCAGGCGTCAGGGTAGGGATCAAAACCACGACCTCCTGTAGACCAGGCGAGGGAGTTAACATCTCCTAGCCACCGCGGCGCCGAAATATATTTTATATATTTTTGTTATTTCTATACAACCCAACAGCAACTACGGCCTTCGGGGAAGTGCTTCGTTTAATTTAAAGCAGCAATTGTGGTTCGGGCAGAAGCGAATCTCTGCGTGAGCGGTTTCGAGTACCCAGTTTCTCATCAGCAGCCAGGTTTACGTGAATCGATTTTACGCATTTATCGTGAGGAAAGATCGACGATTGTACGAATTTATCGTGAGGAAAGATAGAGATTTAACGCATTTCTCCTGATGAAAGACCGACTATTGTACGCATTTCTCCTGAGGAAAGATACAGATTTTACGCATTTATCGTGAGGAAAGATCTACGATTGTATTAATTTATCGTGAGGAAAGATCGACGATTGTACGAATTTATCGTGAGGAAAGATCGACTATTGTACACATTTATCGTGAGGAAAGATCGACTATTGTACAAATTTCTCCTGAGGAAAGATAAACGATTTTACACATCTATCGTGAGGAAAGACCGACTATTGTACACATTTCTCTTGAGGAAAGATCGACTATTGTACACATTTCTCGTGAGGAAACACCGACTATTGTACACATTTATCGTGACCGCACGCGCCAAGTAAAAAGGCGGGAAAAACGAACGTTGACTCAGTGGTGGGTGGGGGGCAATGGGGGATATTAACCCCCCCCCGCCCCCACAATCTTTTCACCCCCTTGAGAATCCATAGCTGCAAGGCCGGAATTGAGCATATTTGTGGATGTGTATATTGCTATAAAAAATATAATTGCTATGCTATGTAAATAAGAACCACAATTTGCTAAACATTGGGCACAATATCTGGACCTGTCTTCATATAAAGCAATGCATAGATTTCTGTTTAAAATGATTGTGGTTATGGTTGTACATTATTAATCCCTAATCTCTGCCATTACATACAATGAAATGTGAAATGGTAAAAAAGTAAAAACAGAGCAATGTAAAAATACAATACACTATTAGACATTGTAAAAAAAAAAAGTCCATCACCATAAGTAGTGAAATTTTAAAATATTTTAGGCAGGAGTTTTCAAATTTAGATCTTTTTCTGGGTTGGGACCCCCCCAGACACCCTGGAAGATTTGGTCCCTTCCAATGTTGAATCCATGGCTACGGCCTTGCATAGTAGTCAGCCCATCACGGTTTATTACCCCACACGGGGAAAATTGAGTTTTCAGGTCCATATGTTGCACACTCGAAATGAAGGACTTTGGGCAGGTGCTTCAAATCGAGGGCAAACACATGTATTGTGGTTAATCTGTAAAATGCAACAGCACGTGTGCCACACACAGCAATTTTTCCGAGTCCCCATTAACCACGTGACTGGTGTCTAAGTGCGGTTATTCAATAACCTTGCCAGTCACCTACAGATCCAACTAAGTCATCACATGCTGCTGTACACACATGCATTGATGCATTGCACAGCACATCAGGACTTGCACAAAACCACCCTTTACTCCCTTGCTGCACAAGGATATCATTCAAAGAGTAATCCGTTCCTAATGTGCCACACTTATGGTGTACAGAGGTTTCAATACGGGCACACACACACACACAAAACGTGTCTGTTTGTTCGTGTGTCTGCCTCGTGATGGTGACTTTGTACGATGAACTTTGAGATTTATATGAGGCGACTAATAAAGTGTGGTTTGGTTTGTTATAAGGTAAGGGCACTGATAAGGGGTTCACTCAACAGGTATGAGGACGGGTGGTGGCAAGATAAACTAAAAAAATAAGTGGATTTTCAGAGAATAGTGGAAGCTAGTGAAAGAGGGTGATTGTTTCTAGCCTGGCACAAGCGTCGTGGTAACGTCACCGCCACTTAGTGGCGAATGGCGGTTGTTGTTGTTGTTTCTAGCTTAATTCGCACACATTGAAGATACAACGATACGGTTGGAACGAACCCCATATACCGTATCAACCCAACACGGTTTACCCCGTATTCTTGTACAGGGAACTTGAGTTTTCAGGTCCATACAGCCTATAGCCGCTTCAAAACGGGTACGAAAAAAATTGTGTTAATTTGTTTGTGTGTTTCCCTTGTGATGGTGACTTTGTGGGATAAACGTTGAGATTTATAAGGGACACGGGGTGACCAATAAGGTCTGAGTTGGTATGCAATAAGATAGGGCACTGGTCAGGGTAGGGCACTGATAAGGGGTATTGAAACTGGCCGTGCGTCGTATGGACCTGAAAACTCAATGTCCTTGTTCAAGAATACGAAGTAAACTGTATAAGTTGACAGATATGTTGATGCCTACTGTATATTTGGAGTTTGAATGTCTCTCTCTCTCTACCTATGGTCGCGTTTATGTTTTATTATACTCCGTGTTTAGAATCAACAAGCGTTTCGAGTATTTGGCTGCAATACGTTTCCACAAGATAATAAGTATAACCCGTAAAAACAAAGTTTTTCACTATAAATCCTTTATATGCGTGGCGGCTAGAGTCCTCTCGTCCTCTGGCTGGAGATGGCTGCCACCTATGGGTCAGATGATTGCATTGCACCATTAAGCAATTGATAATTAAATATAAAAATTTTGTCCTAAAAAGTGTACAATTTTGGAAAAAAATTTTCACGAACATTAATTATCACGCACAACGAGTCTGTGTGGAAAATGTCAGCTCGATTGGATCACGGGAATTGGGTTAAAAAACGACCGAAAGATTTGCACGGCCGTAAGCAAGCAAGCGAACTTAATATAAAGGATGTAAAAAGCCACTTCGTTGGGCTATCATTTGTGATGACCAGGCCGCTTCTGATAAATAGCTACATAGCTCAGTGGGCCTTTCACCTGGCAACATTCAAAAGAGTATGAGCGTTTAGTGTATTATTAACGCGTTATAGCGGAAACGCGTTGTGTGAACACCCGTTACGCGACGACTTTACCCCATACGTGCAAATGGAACTCCTCGACTTCCGAGACCAATATTTGTGATTCACAATTGGTTTACTTTGGCCTCCATCATCGTGTCGCGGTATATTATGTCGCTTGTTAACTGTAGCCCTCCACTCCACCACCCAAAACAGCCAAACAAATCAAGATGTCGCGTCGTGGGGTGGTAAATGTGCCGACTGATTTGAACGTTTACACTCCGCTATGCTTTTGGGATGCATAATTAGTTTATCTTTGGTTAGATCATCGTGTAGTTATGATACAGATGTTTTACTATAACCCTCCACCGGCCCGACAGAGCCAATTCAATCAAGTTGTCAAAGTGGACAAACGTGCAACTCGATTTTGTTTACCGGCAAATAACCTGGAGGAAAGCTGAAAAGCGAGCAGAGCGAATGATGCTGGTTGTAAACGAATTTCTTCGATTGAAAACTAATTTCTTACGAACTGCTTTTTGTGTTTAGTTTGTTGGCCTTCTCCCGCACCGCTGATTAGCATGGTTGGCTACGCACGGTGCGAAAGAAGTTCAACGCACATCAGTACGTACGTGCGTGCGTGCGTGCGTGCAGGTCGCCGTGTTGGATGGTTGCAAGTATTGAGACTCACCGGACGCTGCTAGATATGACGAGCAGATCAGCCCGAGCAGAAGGAAGGCCAGCCCGCTGGGACCCATTCTGCAAATCAAATGTTCAGGACGAAGGGTACACGCACGCACACACTAAGACACGCACGCACAGACGCTCGCTCGCTCTCGTTCAAGTCGAATATGATTATCTTGCACAGCCCGACCAGCGGACTGCAGAAGTTCTCCTCACGAGGTTTGATTAAGTGAATGTGCTCACAGGTTGGGTCTTATAACCACTCGTCTGGCCAATCCCCGACGGCCGTGCGGACGTTTCGCAACGTTGGGCAAACGCAATTCATTTTATGGCTTAATGGCTCAAGCAGATGGAGTTTCGGCGGGGGGGGGGGGGTGGTGGGTCTAGGACTGGGTGGTCAAAAATGTTGAGCCACTATCGTCTGGGGGTCAAGGGTTGAAATCCCGGGCCGGGCTGAATCCTTCAGCCACCTGTGATTAAAACCGTGTTCCTCGGGTGTGACTGAGTTAATCACCTCACCGGAAACGGCACACGCGATAAAACCGTCGCGTACATATATAAAATGTATAGATATGTACGGTTCTGCACTTAATTTGACACTAAATTCCAGCTCCGATAAACAAAATGGCGGTTCGACCGTCACGTGACGAGCATTCATCTCGTTGCGGCAGAGCGGGGGGTGGGGGGGGCGGTGGTAAAGTGATGGCCTCCTCTTCTTGGTCTGAATGAGACGCTGTCTCCCCGACAGACCTGGTCTTCACCTGAGGACGGCTGCTTGCGTTGTGGCCGAAACGTCGAGAGAATTATTTTGTTATGTTTTATTTTATTATTTCCCTTCTACGTGACTTTACCGAAAGAACCAAGAAGATGAATCCCTGCAGTCACGAAAGCTTCAAAGTGATGGCCTCCTGCTTTGTAGGACCAGAGGTCGCTCGTAGGGATCTCAGAACGTGCAGTTCTGAGATCCTATGACGCGAGTCGGATATAACGCGATGATTGTATTGGGGAACATGAGATGTCCTGAAGAATTCCCCCCATGGTTTCGATTTAAAGCTTTCGTGACTGCAGGGATTCATCTTCTTGGTTCTGTCGGTAAAGTCACGTAGAAGGGAAATAATAAAATAATAAAAATAAAACATAATAAGATAATTCTCACGACGTTTCGGCCACAATTCTCACGATGGCTGCTTGCGTTGTGGCCGAAACGTCGTGAGAATTATTTTATTATGTTTTATTTTTATTATTTTATTATTTCCCTTCTACGTGACTTTACCGAAAGAACCAAGAAGATCCCCCCATGGTGTTTAGGGTCTTGATTCAAAGCGGATTCGATGTTGCTAAAAGCGGCCGCTTGTGTTGCCAGGGCAAGGTCGCTCGTGTAGGAATTGAAGAGCGTCAGCGCGAGTACTGAACCTTTCGACAATCCATTGTGGAGGAACCGAGGTGAGCTGTGGCTTTGTCGCCCCATTTAGGGAACACATTTCTTTATAACGCGGATGCTCATTGGATATAACGTGATTTGGTGAGTGGAACTACGTCGCTGCGAGTAGGAATTCCCCGGTTTGTACGGCTGCCTCGGCGTAGCATCGTCGCACAAGGCGGGGATGCTGCTGGATGTTTCTAGATGCTACCCCATGCTCCTCAAATCTTTGTTCAGCCTGCGTACGCATAAATAATATTATATATTATAATATTATATATATTATTTATTTTAACGCGATTTTTCCATCACGCGGTGTTCTTCATGAACGCAACTACCGCCGCATTATAATCAAACAGACTGTAGCTCTGTCATATCAGCGTCCGCTGATGTTAACTACCTCGCCTGGTATGCAGGAGGTCGTGGGTCCGATCCTCGACCCTGACGATGCATGTTGTATATTTAGAGTCTGCGTCTTTTCTCTCTATCTCCCCCGTGGTCGTGTTTTTCCCCTCCACGTTTAGAATCGAGGTCATGCGTTTCAAGTATTTGTCTGCTGCTATAAATGGCCACGTCATGATGATGATAAGCCCATTTCGTTGAGCTCTCATTTGTTGGCAGGTCGCTTCTAAAAAAAAATAGATATACAACTTCGTGGGCCTTACCTGGTAATAAAAAAAAACTATTTAGTTAAAAAGTTTGTAGTTCAGTTATTCAAGAACTGAACTATTTATGAACTGAATTCCTAAAGAAGCTCCCAGCACGTGGATCGAAACGTCGGACATTGTGTCGATCCAGCACGCGGTATGACGCGAAAACACAGCGGAGACATGTAACCTGGCGCAGGTTTATTGGAATATTTATGGCACCTGTATTTGAATTTATCACACTTCGTCCGGCTTCCTGGAACACGCATTGTGCATTTGTCATTTACGATTCCAGCATTCAAAGTGTGTGTGTGTAATACCCGTACATACAATTAAGACCTTTACGACAGAGCCAGTCCAAAATAGAGATCGCAGAAAGATAAACGTGTCGTTAAACCCGCCACCACTCGACACAGCCAATTAGTAATGGGTTGTCACGGTAACAAAACGTATCAATTCGTTACGAGTCGCAGACGTAGACTTTGGAGGCAACACATTTATTCAGTTCCAATACACGGGGCAACTTCCGCCTTAACAGAATAATAAGCTAAGGTAGTGACCACCAGGCTAACTACACTAGTTACCACGTAACTGTAACTACGGACCCGGGACTACAACATCTGCCCAGGTCCACGTGCTGGAAATCTTGTTGAATGGAAATCGTAGACGAAGGTTTTCTTTACCGTGATGAACAACCCTGGTCCGTCTCGGGACCCGGCTTCTATTCTCTGCGGCGTGGCCGACTCCGCCCTTGGCAACGCCCACCTTCCAGAATCCTCGGGAAGGATCTGGGTCCCAATCACGTGACCCCCCCCCCCCCACTAGCCCCCTCTCGGGGCCCCTCTGTCAACCTAACCAGTCACGTGTCCTCCCGGGTCAACCAGATTGCCATGGCCTCACGCGACCTCATCGTTCGGTCGGCACCCACACACCCTGTCCTGTAGGGCCGGCACTGCACTTACAGCCTGGTGCCATCCAGCGCTATGATCCTAGTAGGGGTTGTCATGTATACAGAACGTGGCCAATTCGTCACCAGTACAGCACTAGTGTGTAGTGTAGTGTATAGTGTAGTGTATAGTGTAGTGCATAGTAGTATATAGTGTAGTGTATAGTGTAGTGTATAGTGTAGTGCATAGTAGTGTATAGTGTAGTGTATAGTGTAGTATATAGTAGTGTATAGTGTAGTGCATAGTAGTACTCATTTTAGGCTGAGTCGACCTAGGGGAGGCCCAGGACCGGTTCATATAATCGTCACTTGTGTTGACCGAATCGAACTCGGGTCGCCGGGTTCGTAGCTCAGCGTGCTAACCGCTACACCACCGCTCCCCACACCCATATCTGCACACACACACACACACAAACATTAAGTGACGTTTTATTTAGCACGTAATGTGAATAACAATATCGAGTTGAGTGTCACACGATGCTCTCAGTGGCAGGGCGACCGGGGATAGGGCTGCCCCATACTGCGTATGTTTGTGTGTGGCCCAGAGGGTCACGTGAAAGGAACTCGGAGTTAGCTCTATGATATCCGCTTATGTGGCTCCGTTCTCTAGCACGATAGGGCGATGCAGCGCTTTGTGAGACATCCCAAATGTATTCCCTGTCTTGTTAAATAAAACAAAAATTTTAATAAACTTACTTGAATATACATTGACGCCTCAACTTGCGGACGAGTCAAGTTGCAGAGGTCTAAATTTCGATGCAGGGATTCATCTTCTTGGTTCTTTCGGTAAAGTCACGTAGAAGGGAAATAATAAAAACATAAAAATAAAACATAATAAAATCATTCTCACGACGTTTCGGCCACAACGCAAGCAGCGAGGACGGCTGCTTGCGTTGTGGCCGAAACGTCGTGAAAATTATTTTATTATGTTTTATTTTTATGTTTTAATTATTTCCCTTCTACGTGACTTTACCGAAATAACCAAGAAGATTGCAGAGGTCTGTTCGTAAGTCGATTTGTTCGTAAGTCCAACTCTACTCCTGTCGATTCCAAACACGTTGTGTGGCATGTACACTAAACACGGGGAATGGCTTTAAAAGGTGTATAATCTGCTGTAGATATAGATGCCACTGGTTCTTCGCGTCATGCAGATGTAGATGGCACCACCGTCATCCATTTAACTTACGACTCGGTTCGAACAGGCAACTGGACATACGGACAGCTTTGTTCGTATCTCGAAAGTTGGCAAGTAGAGGAGTCCCTGTAGGCGCATCGAAACGGGAATGTCCGATTAGGTGTTTTTGTTGATGTCGTTGTTGTTTGCTTGCGTACAGAGAGGAACGCGATGCAATGAGTGCGTAGAAAAGCGTGGGACCGGCTTGGTGCGCACGTGGATTAACACAAAATGAGAAACACGTGGGTTTGAATAACGCAACTCGGGTGTTCCGTGAAGAAAAGGGGAGCTGGGGGCGGTGTTGAAGTCAGTGGCGTGGTGACTCCTTCGTCAGCTCGGAGGACTGTAGCAGCCAAAGAGCCGCGAGTGGCTGAAGCCTCAAAGAGCCACGGGGCACGCGGCGTCGGATCCGCAGGCTGCCGACTTCCTGCTCGAAACGCGTGGCGCCGATTTCTCAACGTGGCGGGGTAAACCCGGAGGACGCGGAGATTTAAAAAAAAAACACGCGAGCACGGGGAAAGAGAGAGAGAGAGAGATAGCTACGCAAATTTCAGATATACAGAGATCGGGATAGACATTGAACTCACGGAAAAAGAGAGAGACAGACACGCAAACTCGACACACACAGCGGGCAGGACTCAGGGTAGGCATTGAACTCCATGACCACCGGCCAGTGGCGTAGTCACGACATTGTTATCAGCGAGGGGGGGAGCGAGGGGGGTGTAAGGCGATCAGTCAGCTGGGGCCTCCAGCACTGAGATTTGTCTCTTCCCACGATCGCACCTCGTGGCTGCTGATGACGGCGGCTTCACGTCGTCGTCACGCTCACGGTCTCGAACATTTAACGCTGTTAGGGGGTGGGGGGGGGGTGCTCCCCTCTTCGCAAAACGCGGCCACGACCGGCTCCGCAGCGCCTCTTCGCAACAATGCGTCGCTGCTCTAATGAAATGAAGATGAAACCTGGAACGTATTTTGACAACAATTTCATTAAAAAAAGTAAATTTTTAAAAATGTTGGTTGTTCATTT